CACCACGTGTCTCAGGTGGGCACCTATGCTGCAAAGTAGACCTTTGGCTTCTCAACAAAGTTACACAGAGATTCTATGAAGAAGTCCTTATAGGTCTGTAGGCCCTGCCCTTAAATATTGACTGCAGTGATAAAAGTATTGTATTCTTGCTTTTCAAATGGACAGTTTAATTCTTAGAAAGGCCTGCGGCCAGTGGGGGCCAAGAGGACAGTCCAACTCTGAGGAGTGTTAGTGACAGAGTTCCATCAAGTTGTTCAACACCAAGTGAAGTTTACCTACAGCACATATGAATCACATAGTTGTGGGAGCTAGAAGTATCTCTTGAGGTCACTCATCTCACCCCGTCTTGTAGAGATATGAAAATTAAAGAGACAAGGTAAGGAGCATAAACCACTTACTGTATGGTGTACACTCTGAGATTTTTCCAAATTCGTATCATTTCATCGTCATGATAACCTTATCAGGAAAGTATTGTTATTTTCATTTTTTACAAAGAAACAAAACCCAAAAAGGACTAAGTAACTGGCCAAAATTATAGAGCCTGAATTTCTCTAGATCATACTGCCTCTTACATAGTTTGGGTTACAGTGTGAGGAGAAGCTGGTCTGGTTTCCTCTGGAAATCTGGGAAAGCAATGGGAACTTCTAGACAGAGGAAGCAATGAAGGAGTGTGGCTAGGGCAGAGTGTGATCTGTGACTGCTGCTAGGATACTCTGACCTTCCCTGCGCCCCTGAAGGGACCCAGCTCACCCTGCTGCCTCTGCTGTGCCAGGCTGGCCCTCTCAGAAGGAAACACCTGCCCCTACTCACATCTCTTCATCTTGATTTTCAAAAGTCAGATTTTAGCTATCACACACACTAGATTGGCAAACTTCCTAGGACTGGTGGCTGATTGTGAAGTTTTTGTACCCCGTGCCTATTCACCAATCAGGGAATTGGGAGAGGTGTTTTGTTTGTGTTTTTGACTAAACAGATCTAGACCTCTGCTCTTGGTCTTTTTTTTTTTTTTTAAACACCCTAATAGACAGCTTTTCGGATTCTCCTGCTTATCAAGGAGACCTTACAGTGTAGAGAAAGAGCAGTGAGCAGGAGTGAGAGGGTCCCAGAGCTGCCAGTTAAGGAATGGTTGGGTTCCTGTTTCCTCGTGTGTGGCATAAGGCATCTGGAGTCCTAGCGTGCACAGAAACAGAAAAAGCATTGTGCAGCGGGAGTATATCGCCAGTCCCAGAAGAGCACAAAGGAGACCTCTGCCAAGCATCTTTTCTGGGGACTTCTTTTCCTACTGCGGGATTGCAACACCCCCCCCCCCACACACACACATGTATCTGAATCTGGCTCCCTTGCAGCCACACAGGGCCATGCTGCTATTATCAGTCCCTTTCTGGGCAATTTTTCTACTTATCAGTCCTCTGACTGAACCTCTTTCTTTGTCCACAACCTGGGATCACTAGTATACTTGCCACCACTTCGCTGGCCTGGTTGTTACAGCTCCCAAGTAGCTGAGATCTCTTAAAAACAAACTAGTTTCCTGTGTTCTTTTCCTAAACTGTGACAGAGGCCAGAGAGGGGAGGAGGAGCAGGCAAAACCCCGCCTAGGGCTTTGCCCCTCCTGGGACCTGGGATCTGGTGAGGGGTCATCTTTTTACCCATTCTCAATCCCAGCACGTTGCCTTTTGTCACTGTGTGAGAACGGCAGGGTTCCCTGACCACACAGGAAGTTCTCCCCTCACTTTCACTAAACTGATGGCACACAAATGACATTGCACATGTTGTTCTCTGCTGTTAATGGAAGTGGATAAATTTGATGACTGTGAAGGGAGGGTGCCTCTGAGATGATGATTTTGGCTCATGTGTCTAACTTTCTCACTGTGGCTGCTTGTGATGTGAGAAGAGGCCTTGGTGGGTTGGAAAAGGCTCTGCCTTGCCACCAGTGCGTCTCGGAGCACATCTGCTATGTCTGGAATTGGTCAGGGCAGGCCACTGGGATTGCAGAAGCAGAAGCAGCCTGTCAATGAAAGCCATATTCTGGAGAGAGCAATATGCCACCACCCATACTGCTGCAAATTTATCTAAATTCCTGTCAGGCTTTCTGGGGTTTTGGAGACAGATAAACCAGGGTTAAATCAAAGCCTTTAACTTCCAGCAGAGATACTGATAATATATTATTCAAACTGATCTTGAAATCCCATTTCATCCATGAATTCTTTCTTAATTCACTGAATGAGTGGTTATAATGAGCTTATCTTCCTATTCATTGCCAAGAGCACCCCAGCTTCCAATTCATTCTTTTGTCTGTGGGTACAGGAAATAGCCCTTATCAGATATTACATTTTTAAAATTGGTAACTGTGTACCTGTGAGTTAATCTAAGTGCCAGGGAGGCAGAGGGTAGATGCCAAGCTCAGCACCTTGAAAAGACAGGGACTGCTGGAGATCAGGTGAGGAGGGTGGAGTAAGCTCCCTGGGACCCAACTAGAGCCTGGGAACTGGCTGTCATTTTAGTCTTGGCTGTCCCAGGGGCCTGGGAGTCTGCCGCAGGCCTTCCTGGCATCCATGTAATGTCTATGTAACTCCCCCACATGAGGGAAGATAGGGCCCCACATGCCTGGTGCTGTGCCAGTGTGTGGGCTACAGCAGGACAGAGGTCGTCTGCAGAGCTGGCATCAGTCCCCAGGGATGCTGAGAGCTCTGGGAGCCTGGGCAGGGCTGGCGGCCAGCCAGGCCCAGGTGAGCAGGCAGATCCTAAAGGTCAGATGAGGTGGTGGGGGGAGCCACACAAGACAGAAAGGTCTGAAGGCCAGGTCCTGGAAGGAAACCAGAGAACGGTGAGGGCAGCAGGGTCCAGTGCAGAATGCGCTGGATGACGAGAAAAGAGCTGGTGTTCTCCCAGGGGGCTGTGAAACCAGGTGGGGTCTGGAAGCTGCACTTTGCCCTGCTTCTCAAACCAGATTCTCCTTATCCACATGGGAGGCCTGGTCTTCTCTTTTGACAGCAAACTCAGGGCTGGAAAGTGTGTGAATCTTGGTTTGGGTCCTGGCAGAGGCCTTAGGACTCTGGAGCCACCAGTCACCTCTCACTAAAGGGCATAACTCAGGAATTCTAATGTTTAAAACTAACCGAATCTATTTTTACTCATGAAAGGGCCGTGACAGATTACTTCTTACACTGTAGTTTGATAATTGAGTTTGGGAGAAAAAAATAATGAAAGAATGTTATTTGTGGTACAAAATTTGAGGAACTGATCAGTTGTAACAATCTTACCTTCTATAGGAGGAAAATGAGGGCTGGCGGGGAATGATCATTTGCTAGAATACCTAGCAAGTTAAGAGGCAGAACAGGACCAGAGACTCCAGTTTCCTAATTGCCTGGTTCTGAGCCTTTATTGCTCTCACCTCCTCTCCTCCATCTGATGTGTGTGCTCACATCCCTTACAGAGCACAGGACCTGGGCCTGTAAAATATGTTCCAGCTTTCCTTTCTCTGCAAAGTAGGAGGAAGGTTTGAGCCAACACCTTTCCCCATAGCAGTTCCAGATATTAGTGACTTGGAGTGTGAGCTAACCTAATGCTCTTAGAGACACAGTGCTGATTTCCCCTGCTCCCTGTGACAGGGGATAGATGGACTGAGCTGGAAAGTCCTCTGTTTCCTATGAGAAGAGAATGATATTTGTAGCCTGAAAATCAGCTAGATGAAGGAATCAGGACAGTTACAGATTGGGGGTTCAGGGACCCTGGCTATGACTAGTCAACTATTGTGCTACCTTAGGCAAGTGAGCTCTCTGGGCCTCAGTTTCTACCTTTGTAAAGGTGGGGAATGTGCTGGGTGTGTGCCAAAGGCCTTTCAACACTGCCCTGTGAGGATGTGTACCTGCCCTTCCCCTTAAGAGCTGTTCAAGCTCCTCATGGGTGAAGAGTTCCTGAGTTTAGTGCTGGGGTGGCCAAGTCAGTTCTAGAAACACTGGGTCTGTATGTCCTGGGCACCGTAGCCACCCACATCTTCCTGAAGGACTGCTTCACACATTGCACCTCTGCTCAAACTCTGATGCATCAGTCTAATTGATAGAAAAAGCTGCCATCCCTGCCTTGGCCCATGGTGCCCTTCAGCTTTCTTTCTTGTCACTGCTTAGAGGAGCAGGTATTTGGGGTAGAGAGCCTCACAGAATTTCTGTAAGTCCAGAGGTGCTTTCTGCATGCTGTCTGCGGCCCTGCACCTCTTTTCCATACTGTGATTTTAGTTCAAACCTAGTTCATGAATTTTGATTTAAAGATCAAATTAAACACCATTAAAATGCAACAGGCGTTCAATGAATGTTAGCTTGCTGTCTCCCTCTTCTCCATCCAAAGCATATGTTCTCTGACAACAGAAATTGAATGTACGCTTCTCATACATCTTCAGTGTGTTTATCACAGAGGCCTCTGCAGAGCATTGCTAACTATCTGCTTGATGAATTGATGCTGTGTCTGTTCCAGAAGTTGTCCTAGATGAGCTGAAGTGTTCTTCTCTCTTGCAGTTTGCCCAGATGGTGGCTATGTACAAGACACTGGGAGGAGAGAAGTTCCCACTCATTGAGCAGACATACTACCCCAACCACAAAGAGATGGTAAGTGGCTGAGTTTCTGCTGGCTCCCACCTGAGCTTTGCCGTATGGTGATCATGAGGTTCTGCTTGGGGCTTCAGTTTCTCATCCCCCAGGGCTTACCTGTGGGACCTTTGTGGGCCCAGAGTAGCTGAATTTTAGCTGTCAGCCTTGTTTTCAAGTTCTGGAGACAGAATAAAGGGAGTAGAAGCAGTGGCAATCAGTTTAAGAGAGTAATAGCCTGTGGGCCAACAATCAGCTCTCATGATTTGGGGTGTAGTTCTGGCTCTGCCACGTCATTGGGCAAATTATCATCTCCACTGAACGCCAGTTTCCCAGCCAGACAGTGGGCATAACCTTTGCTGACCAGGAAATGTAGGGTGTATGCACAAGATTGAAATGATGGTTTTAAAGCAATAAGTAGCCTTCTGTAAAATGTGAAGCACTCCTGAGACTTTATTCCAGACTTTATTCCTTCAGCTTCCTCCAGTCAGTGATAAGGCTGAGTGAACCTTAGAGCTGTTCTCGATTCATCCTAGGATGGTGGGAGGAACAGAGAGATGGCACGGCTGGTTGGTAAGAAGGCTATTGCTTTTCCTCCGGGACAACCTGGAGCTCAAACTCCTGTCATCCTTTCTATCCCCTCTGTCCAAGGCAGACGTGATCAGTTGAGGAACCCTGCTTTACCTAGCCATGGCCCAGAGCTCCCTTGTTCCCTCTGCCTCCTCCCGTCGGCTATGGGAATGCCATTCACAGAACTTCTGTAAGTCCAGAGGTGCCTTCTGCATGCTGTCTGAGGCCCTGCACCAGCAGACCATACAGAGGAGAGGAGCACAACATTTGCTCTGAGAACTAGCCCTATCTATCATCTTCGCCTGAGCTTCCCTGGGGAGAGACTGTAGATGTTAGGCATTTGTCCATAATAAATCTTAGAAGCCAATATCAGGGTTTTCTCATTCAGGGCAAGTCCAGAAGGCTTGCAGAGGCCAAGAAACCCTAAGGAGTCTGTGGTGGAGACCTCAGGGAGTCCAGGAGATGGAGGGCATTCTGGGTATCAGAGCTGGCTTTTCCTGCAGTAATCCCAGCAATGCTGACCACTGGAAAACTACATCAAATGCAAGTGGTCTCTCTCCCTGCCCCCACCTCCTTTTCCCTCTAAGAGTAGAGATACTGGTCCTAAAATTTCCCCTCAGGAAATGAGCATCTCTCTGAGGTGATGTAGGAGGGATTTCAGTTCTACTAGAGAAAGGCTTTTTTGGCTTAAAAGCATCATGAAGTAGCAATCAGGACACTAGTAATGTGAAGGGGACAGAAGAGAAGCCCTCTAGAGATCAGTCAAGGCCATTCGGGACAGTTAACCTGGAAGAAAATGTCTGCTCTTGTATAGGAGGCCTTCTCTTGTCCGTGGAGTGTGCTAACAGGATCAGACCTTCACTGGGAATGGTGCTGAGGGTCACAGCGCAGGGAGAGAGGTTAGGTTGTCCTAACTCTCGAATCAAGTGATTCTGTGTGCCAAGGTATATCTGGAAGTGTACAGGATTAGAACCACTGAGACAAGAGGAGTAGAGGATACACGGCTGCAGTAAATCATTCATTCCTGCCAGTCAGCCGGTTTATGATACCATCAACCCCACACTTCTGCATTGCATATCACAAGGTCATATCATCTCTGTGAATAACATTCCTTTTCTCCTCTCTCGGGTCAGTTAAGGGAAAGGAAAACACATTGCCATGGGGAAAAAGGGAATAGTTCTGACTTTGGAAAATAAACAAAGCCAGAATCAAAACTTTCAGTAACAGATGTAAGCTAGATTAATGGGATGTGGGCTTGAAGGTAAGACAGAAAACTCATGCTGCCTTCTCCAGTCCTTGGTGGGCCATAGGGTGGGGTCTTAGGCACAAGCTCTAACATGCGCCACCCCTGCTGTGATGCTGACCAGGCTGTCCCTTGGTGGGCAACAACTGGCCAGGTGTTGATAGAGTTTCACAAGGAAGGAGAACTGGCTTGATCTTCAGGACTCTTAAAAAGCACATGGGGCTACTAGTCCCCACTAGGGCTGGATGATGTCAACATACTCCTTCCTGGGGGGCAGGTGGCCCCAGTACCAACTGCAGGTGCCATCCACATGCTTCATGCAGACATAATGCTGGGCCTGGTACCCATAGAGCTTCCGTTCCAACAGCCAGTCTGTCCACAGGCACTCATTGGGGGCTGAGATGGTACAGGGCACTGTGTAGCAGGTGGTGATCTAGAATCATGGCCACATACATAAAAGTGAGAAGATGTCCTTCTGTTTCCACTTAGACTCCTACATATTCTCTTGGTCCATCTCAGCAACTGTCTTAGGAAACCCTTCATCCCCAGGCTTCCCCTGAATTCTCCCTCCCTGCACTCCCTGAGTACAGGATTACACCCGATGTCATCTCCAGAATCAACTCTGGAGGCCCCTACTCTACCACTGACAGAGCAAGTTACTTCACTTGCCAGAGCCTTAATTTCTTTACAGTGAAATAGAAATCTTAATTCTTCACAAACTTGTTATATAGACTAAAATACTTTTTTAAAAACTCATTATTATAGGCCTGGCAAAGAGTAGGCATTCTTTAAGTGTAGCTGTATTAATGCCATCTCAGTCTACCTTATGTGATGGCCACTTTCTCAGCCAAAATGTAAGTTCTTTGAGGTCAGGGGTTGTGGACTCATTTTCATGTCCCTGAGTTGGTATAGTACCTGATGCATAGCAGAGCTCAAGTGTAGTAGAGTGACTAAATGAAGGGATGAATGCCCAGTGTGCCAGGCTGCAAGGCTCAAGCCTCCACTCCTCCCTGGACAATCTCAGAAACAGACACACACACCCCTAGCCCCACCTCACCCCACCCCCGCCTTACGTGGCAGCCACAGTTGAGGTGGTAGTGATGATTCAGACTTTCCCTCTGCACCAAGGTTAGGTCCTCCCAGGGCTTGATGTAGTTGCACAGATGAATGAACACTTTCCCATCACTGTGGACCTGGCCTTCAAAGGGAGATAGAAGACAGTGTGGCAGTGGGAGTCTGCTCATGAAACTCCCAGGGCCCAAGTCCTAACAGAGAGCCGGGTTCAGGCTCCCCAGGGCCTGTGCAGGAGAGGGGCTTGGGAATAGGGTAGCTATCAAAGATTACAAAAGTCTGGCAGGCCAGTCTTGGGAACCGAGAGCCCTTCCTCTGCCTCTCCACCCCAGGGCAGCACAAGTGTACATCCTTGGAGCTGGAGAACCCATCCCCCCTCCGGAGCCATGCCTACCTGTGACTGCTGAGCACTGTGACTTGTCCCAGTGCATCCCCTCTCCTGCCCAAGGCCTGACAGTGGATAGTAGGCAGCCATTCGTTGTTGAATGGATGAATAGATATCAGAATTATTCTACCTGTTCTCTCCACCTGCTGTGCTCTTTATTTTTCTTGCTTCTAAGTATTCTTAAGCTATTCAGGCCAATTTAGACCCCGTTCCACAGTGAAGCTTTCATGACTGTTCAAGCACTTCTGTTCCTTGAATTCCAAAATAATTCACTGTTGCGTTCATTCATTATGTGATCATTTCATATGGAGGAGGTTTACCTGGGCCCAAGCCATGAAAGGGCTGTGTTAGGCCATGAACCATAGGGACTAGTTTTAGGGGCTAGATTTTGGCTCAAAATGCCAAAAATCGTGTACCAATTAAAACTTTTAAACTGGAACTTGCTGCCCTGAGTGAGGAATGTCACCTGCCGTTAATACAGTGAGGTGGAGGCTGTGACCATTATGAAGACTCCTGTATCAAAAAGGAGGTCACCAAAGCTCCTGACACTGCCGTTCAACTCTGTTTCTCTCAAGGCCAGTTGCTGGTCTCTAGCTTACCAGTCAAAAGATACTGCCTCTGGCTGTTGGCTTCTAGTTTCACACCACAAAGGGAAGAGTCCAAAGGTGTATAGATGTACTGAACATCCTTGACTTTCTCAAACCCTTTAAACATCTGAAAGTCAATTATAAAAAGCAGTGTCATTTGTATATTAATATGCAAAAACCTCTCATTACTCAGTCTACAAATATTAAGCAAAAGTCTAGTTCAGGAATTAATGCATATGGATAACCTCGAGGGTTGTCTCTGTCTTAAAAAAAAAAAGTAAAAATCTAAACCTAGTTTATTCCCATGAGGGAGAGGTACTCCAGTGGCTCACACAGGCAGCCATGGGACGAATAGGATACTAAGATTCCACCCTACACTGTTCCCTGGAGCCATGGGCCCTGCCCTCAACATCTCACCCATTCCACTTCAGCATCTCCATACCAGGAATTCCGAGCCAGACTGCCTGCAACGGGCCAGCAGACCAGCCCCTCCTGAACACGTTTCATCCCTGCCAGGACCCGATGCAGAAAATACCCTGTCCTGTCCCCATGTACCTTTATCTGTTTGATTTCATACCGGATCATTTTTTGAGTGTCAGCAGGGTCTTCGCTGGCAGGAACTACCTTCTCACTGGAGATTTTGGCCCGGATAACTGTAGAGGAAAGGAGGGGGCCTTCAGCACTCATGGCACAATGTACCTGTGAGCCACATGCTCAGAGGTGACCTCTGAGAACGTTGCAGACCTAGAGAATGTTGCAGGGAGCTCTTGGTTTAGGTGTTTTTGGGGTGTAAACAATGTGAGGTGTCTGTGAGTGGGGACCTGGAGATACCTGCTCCCATGCCAAAGGTCCTCACTCTCTGTGCTCATCTGGCCACCTGAACCTACTCACTCAGAACCCACAGAACGGCAGGATAGGAGTGTGGTGCTGTAGGGAGGATGAACCTCAACTGAGGCACTGGCCTGGGCTCATCTGTTGGTGCTACCTAAGGCCTCAGAGTTCACCCAGAGCTGATGGTAGTAACGTCTGATCCTGATCTGAGGACACCTATCTCTTGCTGTGTTGGCATCCATTGGGAATTGCTTACAAAGGCCTGGCAGTAGGCATAAGGCCACAGACATCGCAAGACAGGGTCCCAGAGATGCAGAACTCTGACCTAGCAAGGACACGTGTGTGTAGGACACTAGCCCAGTGTAGTAGAAATAGAAATGTTAGAGATGTTGTGGTGGCACCAAGGAGTTGGGAAGCTTCAGAGAAGAGGGGACATGAGTTAGGCTTTGGGGGATGAGTTTAGGGGGCTGAGGAAGTGAGGAGGAAAAAGTGGGCAAAACGTGTGTGGTAAGGCACAGTGGAAACCTCAGTTCCAGGGCCAGATAAAGAGCTGTTATAGCCAATCTCTCTCTCTTCCTCCACACCATCCTTGTCCAGTAATAATGCCTGGGCTACAGGTGACAGCTGTTGGATGATGTGCGCCACCTGCAGCATGACCTGGGGGAAGGGTTGCCCGAGCTGAGGTTCCAGTCTCACTTCCTTTCTGAGGGATTGCTACGACACTCCCCCCTATCAGCCCCAGCAGGAGGCAGTGGGTGTGAGATCTGAGCTCCTTCCCCCTCCCAGACTCCTAGTCTGCAGCTGGCTCCACTCCATCATCTGTCCACCCCACCCCCACCAACCCCGCCCCCATCCCCAACCCCGCCCTTGCCGTGGACCTTGGCCTTAGACTCACCCAGTGCGGAGCGGCAGACGTGCAGCTGCGGGTGTGCGGGAGCACAGCTGCATGCCTCGCCCAGCCCCCAGGGCTGCAGCAACACCAACAGCCTTAGCAGTAGCGCCCAGCTGGGTGGGGCCGGAGGGCTCCAGCCCATGACGCTGTAGCGACCCTTCAAGGCCTATGAGGCTGTGGGACTGAACCACCCTTCCAGGACTCCTCCAGACCAGGCTACGCTCCTGGCCAGGCTTTATGAGGTGGCCCCTGTGGTCAGTCCCGCCCCATACGCTCCACCCTCCTTTGGCTTGAGGCCACACTTGGCTGCAGGTCCCAAGGCCCTAGACTACAGACCCTGTCAGCCCCGTCCCTGGGCCTGAAGGAGAGGGAAGACTCTGGGAAGAAGGAATGGTATTGATGCGAGGCAGAAAGATGAAAAGAGCAATAGAACCAAATGCAAGAGGGCAGAACGACCAAGCAAGGGGCTGTGCTTAAGGAGGCAGAAGCCAGCGAGGGGAGGCACAGCTAAGAGTAAGACAGGCAGAGTCGAGAGAGGCAGACTGAATTACAACAGGCAAAAGAGACAGTGACAGAGAAGGCCGGACCCCTCGCTGGGCTGCATACTGGGAATGAGACAAGCTACTTAGGGCTTCTTTCAGCTGCAGGAAGTGTTTTCAATGCCCTATTTATGAGGCTCCAGAGCTACTGCAAACAGTAAGGGAATGGGGCAGAGAAAGTTGGGGCGTGTGTGTCTTGGCTCTGTGGACTGGGGGGTGGGGTGGGGAGAGATGTCAAAGAAAGCAGCCAGTGCTTTGGAAACTCTCATAGCCAGGACTTAGACTTCCTGATTGCTTGGGCGGTGCTCTTGGAACATGGGTGTCCCATCACTTAGGGCAAACTTCAGGCCTCAAAGCCTCATGTTCAGGCCCTGGGCCACATTCGTTCCTCCTCCATGTCACTGCCCACTGGAGGCTGTCATGATACAGCAGGACAGCTTAGGAAGCAAGGCAGTCGGGGTCACTGAGACCCAAACCTTGACCACTGTTGACAGGATCGTTCTCCAGGGCTAGACTGGGGAGTAGAAAGCTGAGTTCTGCTTCAGGCTGTAGCTAGGTGGTTTTGTGACTGTTGTCTCCCTGGGCCTTAGTTTTTTCCTCTGTATAATAGGGTCAAACCATATGAACCATACCTCTCCCTGTGCTAGGAATGAAACCCAAGACCTCGAACAGGCTAGGCAAGTGCTCTACCACTAGGCTCCACTGAAAGGTGATTTCTAAAGCCCTTTGAACCCTACCACCCACCCCCAGCTTCACTGGGCTCAACCAGGAATGCTGGCATCCACAGCTCAGACACTCCCAGTGTCTAGTCACACCCAGGCTCCATGAAAATCTGACTTTTCATCAGCATTAGCTTTTCATTTGGATATGCTAGTTGAAAGGATTTTGCCCTAGATAGACACTAGCAGTGGGAGGATCAAGGGACCTTGAGGTCATTCCCCCCCCAGGCAGTTTACCTGTGGCATGAAAAGAATTCCAATCAGCTGCTTGCACATCAGCAATGCCCCCTTTAAGCACCACCCCAGACCAAAGCTGTATGTATGCCCCCCACACCACGTATCTGGCAGAGAAAGCCAGGCCCCTGGCAGTCATGGAGTTTCTCTCCGAGTCCTTAGAATAAAGGCCATTTCTACTGTATATTCTGTTTCTTTCATCGTGCAGAAAATCCTATCCCTAGTAATGTTTGAAGAGAAGAAAACTGAAACCAAGTTGAGTCAGTCTGACTCAACTTGTCTGCGTCCAGATGGACTCTTTGTACCTGCCCCATGATAGAGTCACGTTACTTTCAGGTATCTCAACAAAAAACAAAACAAAAGGGACATGATGGCATACACCTGTAATTGCAGCACTCAGAAGGCTGAGGCAGGAGGAGGACTGAGAGTTCAAGACCAGCCTGGGTTACAAAGTGAGCTCAAGGCCAGCCTGAACTGCACAGGGAGACCCTGTCTCAAAAAGACCAAAAAAAATCTCTTCATTTAACAGACATGAAAGCTGCAGCTCAGTGATGTGAAGGGACTTGTAGGAAGTAAGTAGCTAGGGCAGGGGATTTAGCTCAGCAGTATAAACATCTGCCTGGAGAGTGTGAGGTCAGGATTGTGATCCCGGTTACCAAAAAAAAAAAAAAAAAAAAGACAAACAGAAGAAGTGAGGGGCAGAAGGATGAGCATGCAGGTCTGCGGCCTGCTCTGGCTTGCCGCCTTCTACATCTTGTTCTTTCTTCTACCTGCGTTTTGTCACAGCTTGACACCCTGTCTTTGGAGGGCAAGTCTATTAAGCTTTTATTGTTCTTCTGTCAAATTAGGGATACCTTAAGGTGGAGTTTACTTTTCATGAGGCTTTCTTTCCAAGAATAAACCTGTTGAATTCTTACATTGACTCTCTTCTAGACCCCAAGCAGGGCAGAAGTGTGCCAAGCTGTGTTTGGAGTGCTGGTGAGCAGGGAAGATGTCAGAGAGGAAAAGGACAGCAGCTCAGTGGGGAAGCTAGGTGCTACAGGGGACAGGTACTAAGAGGTGCAGGTACAAGAGACGTTAAGAGGCTACAGATGTATTCAAGGGGTGGTTGTGGGCCATGATATGGGCAGAAAAATGACAGACTCCAAAAATTAAAAAGAAGCGCTTCATTAGCTGGGCTCAGTGGCAGCACTGTCCCGGACAAGCAGCCAGGGAAGTGTGCCCCAAGCCAGGGCTGCAGGGAGTTATAAAGCAGCAAGCAGCAAGGGGAGGAGTCAGGGTCTTGGGATCAGTTTGTCTCCATGAAAGGTAATTTGGTTTAGTTTTACAGGACCCAGGGAGTCTTGGATGCAATTTAGAAGGCACTTTATAATACATGGCCCGACGGTTAAAGCACATAAGAGAACAATTGGTTCTAGAGCTGAGAATAGGGTGGTCAGCCAGGGGGACAGTGAGAACAGATTTTGAAACCAATTCTGGTCATGTTGTTGTTGCTCTCAGTTATGAGCCTTTCCCAAGCTTGTTGATACTGTTTCATATGACTCTGCGTGAGTAGTGTAGAAACAGTAGGCCTCTCTTAATGCCACGCGTAGACCACCCTTTTTTTTTTTTTTCCTATAAACAACAAATCTAGGCCTCTATGATTTTGGATTTAGGTGTTCTCGTCCACTTGTACCTGAATACCAATAAACCTAGGGGAACACATGGACCAAAATATGTAACCGGTTTGTCTAGTAAAGACATCTAACATGACACAAGGAGTCCATCCTGAGGTACAAGCAAACCATGATCCTTTGGGAGCCTCTAAATGTTGGCCTGATGAATATGAAACATTTGTTACCTCAATAGTGTTAAGGCAGAGATCGCGATTACAGGCTAAAGTTGGTCATGGTATCAGATCGGATGCAAGTTCTGTTTCCTTGAATATCCTGAGGTTAGGACAGGTTTTTGTCCCCACTAACAAGGGGAGTTAGAGTCCAAGTTGGAGGAGTTCTGGATCTGGAAAGAGACATTTGAACCAATGGACGCTTGTAGAGCCACCCCCATGTAAAAGGGTGGTTTTGGGTCTAAACATAGCCAGCAGTCCTGGGTGAGATTGGGATTCCTACTGTTGAGGTATCGGAGCATCATGTCTAAGGGACTGTATAGGTCAGAGACAGGCTGAGGGGTTTGCGGCAGTGAAGGAGTAGAGGTAGCAGTAGGAGGCAGATTGGGATTTGTCCTAGTAGGGGGAGCAGGTGGGGCCAGCAGCCCAATAGCTGGCCGGGTAGGGTGATCAGTGGCCTGCCTCCTATTGATATGGAAGATTGTTCCTGGGTCATATCCAGACACATAAAGTCAAATGCCCCAAGTTTTTCCCCCCTGCAGTGAGTAATGGTGGATTTGTTTGAAGTTAAATGTAAAGGGATTACAATTTTGGGAAGCACAGTTTGGTTTTGAGGATCTCTTAAGATCAATGAAAGGGTCATTACTTCCCTATGGAGAGATGGACTCGCATCCCCAGTAATTACAATAAAGTTGATTGTATCCCTCGCAGAGTTCATTATGGTGAGAGTTTTTAGATGACTGTTCTTGGGGACAAACATAAAACTGTATTCTGTAGATGCTGTCATCCCTTAGAGATACAGCAGTCGTAGAGATCCTCAGATTTGCCTCTATTTTGGGATGAAGCCCATTTATTACTGATTCCCAAATTAGCAGAACTCATTGTGGAGAACTGGCCATCCATAATGTTACATGGGTCTGTAACCAGGATAGCACGGAGTGTGGTATTTTTGGCTATGAGATAGCTTGTTATGGCATTTGTTAATTTCCAGGTGTAAAGGGGTGGGTCATGTTCAAGAGACAAAGCAGCCATTTCCCAACAAGCAAGAGAAACTATCATTATCAAGAACATTTTGACAGTTTGAGTTTCAGGGGATATTCAGTCTGAGTAACAGTCCACTTACCTGCATCCTGGGTATTCAGAGAGGGGACCTTGATGTGGGAGTGATGTATCCCGGTTGGTTTCCCGGCCACCTTGACAGCCATGGGAGTGCTGAGAACAACGGTGTATGGTCCAGTCCAATGTGGTTCAGGGAGGAGGTGCAAGAATGGCATTTGAGTAACACTTGATTTCCTGGGCTTGCGGCCAGAGGGGTCTCTGGTGCATGTGGCTTGGCTTGGTGGTCTCAGAAGAGTTGGTGGATGGAAGTCAGCACAGGTTGAAGAGCCTGTGGTTAGCAGTCTCTGCCAAATGAATACTATCAAGGCGGGGGACGAGGGGTGGCAGTCTTCCATAGACTGCCTCAAAAGGGGTTATTCCATTTATATATGGAGTGCAACGTGCACACAGGAGGGCAAAAGTAAGGAGACTCACCCAGTTTTCGTCAGACTCTAAAATCAATTTGCTAAACTCTTTCAGAGTTTAGTTCATCCTTTCAACTTGACCTGAACTTTGGGGATAGTAGGCACAGTGAAATTTCCAATCAGCCTGTAATAACTGAGTAACTTTATTAGTGATGGAAACTATGAAAGCCGGGCCATTGTCAGACCCCATAGATAAGGGAAGGGCAAATCCAGGAATTATTTTATATAAAAGCTTTTTGACAACAATTGAGGCCGATTCGGTCTTCCTCAGGTATCCCTCAATCCATCCAGTGAAAGTGTCCACCAAAACGAGCAAATACTTATGTCCATGTAATCCTGGTTTTCCCATGTCAGTGAAGTCAACTTTCCAGTGTTCTCCTGGAAAGATTCTCTGGTATCGAATTCCC